CATGGAATTATACTCAGCAAAAAAAAGTAAACTCTTGATAAACACAACTTTGATGAATCTCAAGGACCTTATACTGAGTTGTATAAAAGCCAACCTAAATAGGTTATATACTATATTTGCTTTAAATATAACAAAATTATAGAGAAGGAGAACAGATAAGTGGTTGCCAGGGGTTAAGTGCTGGGCTGGAAGGTGATGAAGGTGTACATAAAAGTGTCACATGAGGGAGATCTTTGTAGTGATAGAGTAATTCTGTTCTGTGTTTTGATTGCAATAGTGATTCAAGGAATCTACACATGTAATGAAGTGACAAAAAACTATACACACACATTATATCAATGTCAATTTCCTGGTTTTGATATTGTACTATAGTTACATAAGTTTAATCAGTGGGGAAAACCGAGTGAAGGGTATGTGGGGCTCTACTATCTTTTCAACTTCCTGTGTATCTGTAATTATTTAGAACTAAAAGTTTTGATGATTCTTTTAGGAGTACAGGAGCAAAAGTGTTTAAAGAACACTGCTATTGAGAAACTCTTATAACATGTGCGTTGGAGTGTTTACAGCAGCACTACCTGTTATAGTAAAAACTGGAAACATCCAAATGTTCATGTGATTTTGTTAAATTAACACTTGTTAAGTAGAGCCCCAGGGTATCAGATGATGAGCCACTTAACAAAGACCAAAAGATAAATTTAAATAGAGAAGTTTATTACTCACAGGTCTTTGAAGACATATACAGCACGCCTTGAGGGGTCACACAGGGAGGTGCAGGAAGAGTGTGAGCAGCAGGGGCACATGTCTGTATTAGCTTCCGCTGGTGGAGTGTTTCTGGGATTCCCGGCTGGATTGGTCAATTCAAACGAAAAAGACTAGAGGTTTGGTGGCTCCCAGAGGGTCTTATTTAAAGGATACACAAGGGAAGGAGCTGGAAGGCAGGAGGCTGTTTATTACCAGAGGCATTGGGGAAATCATATCAGGAACTATGAACTCGTGACTCTGAGGGCTTTCACCTAGGGCATGCACTCTCGAGAGGGGCTAGTTTCAGTACAAGCTTAGTCACACAAAAGGGAGGCCAAGGCAGCAAAGTTTAGCTAAACTCTCAACACTCTATCTCCTGGATAATTGGTAAATAACACAATAAATAACACATATAACAGAATATTAAAGATCAGGAAGAAAATGTATGAACAAATCCTGCCCAACATTTGTGAAATTTATTTCTAAGTTTTTTATTCTTTTTGATGCTATTATAAATGAATTTGTTTTCTTAATTTCATTTTTGGATTGCCCCTTGCTAAAGTATCATAAAAACAACTGTTTTTTTGGTATATTGACCTTAAATGCTACAACCTTGATGAACTCGTTCGTTAGTGCTAATAGTATTTTAGCAGATTTCTTCAGATTTTCTACATACAAGATCACGTCATCTACACATAGAAATAATTTTATTTCTTCCTTCCTAATCTGGATGCCTTTTCTTTTTCTTGTCTAATTGTCCTAGTTGGAACCTCCAGTACAATGACATCCTTCCTCATTCTCAATTGTAGGAAGAAAGCATTATCTTAGTTTGTTAAACTTTTTTTTATCATGAAATGATATTAGATTTGGTCAAATGATTTTTCTGTGTTTACTGAAATGATCATGTGTTTTTCTTTCCCCTTTATTCTATTGATAAAGTATATTACAATAATTCTTTTATCCTTTTTATGTGATTCCTTTTGCTAGTATTTTCTTGAGGATTTATAAAAGAGATATTAGTCTGTAGTTTTCTTTCTTCTGATGTCTGTCTAGTTTTCGTGTGCTGTTATTGTTATACATGTTAACTCTGGTGTATATTGGACCAAACAATATATTTTTAGAATTATCCCTTCATGTAATTTTATGTCTTTTAAAGAAGCCAAGAGAAAAACATGAGAGTAAGTATATGTTTATAGATTTTTTTTATATCAACCTTCTCGTTTACCATTTCTGATTCTCTCTTGTGGATTTTTGTTACCATCTCGTGCCTTTTCCTTATGACAAAACAGCTTTGCTCCCACACCCTGTGATTGTCAAATATATTACACTTCTATATGTTATAAGTCCAACAATACAATTTTATTTTTTTTTATGGAATTACTTTTTAAATCAGTAAGGCCAAGAAAAGAGAAGAAATATACAATTACATTGTCTTTTGTAATTACCTACATAGTAACATTACCAGTGTTCTTTGTTTTTCGTGTGGATTTGAATTACTGACTGGGGTCACTGCTTTCAGCATAGAGAATATCTTTAGTCTTTCTTGTAAGGGAGGTCTACTAGCAACAAATTCTTTCTTTTTTTTTTTTTTTTAATATAGGAATGTCTTTATCTTACCTTCATTTTTGAAAGTTAGTTTCGCTGGATATAAGATTCTTGTTTGGCATATTTTTTCAACATTTTGAATATGTCATCCCACTGCCTTTTGGCCTCCTTTGGTTCTGAAGAGAAGTCAGCCCTTTTATCATATTGAAGTTTTTTGCATGCGGTGAATCCTTTTAACTGACTGCTTTTAAGAGTTTCTCTTTATCTTTGGCTTTCAGCTTTTTGACTATGACATGTCTGGGAGTGGATCTCTTTACTTTTATCCTACTTGAAGGTTTTGGATGACTTAGAGGTGTAGATAAATGTTTTCCATCAAATTTGGGAAGTTTTCAGTCATTTTTTGAATAATTTTTCTATTCCTTTCTCTTTCTCCTGTAGTTCTGGTAGTCTTATTGAATATATGTTTATGTACTTAACGGTGTCCCACATTTCACTGAAACTCTTCAGTTTTCTTCATTCTCTGTTTTTCAGATTACATAATCTCTATTGATCTAACTTCAAGTTTTCTGATTCTTTTTATGCCAGCTCAAATCTACTGTTGTTCTACTCTACTTAATTTTTGGTTTCAGTTATTGTATGTTTCAACTCCAGAATTTTCATTTGTTTCTTTTTAATAATTTCTATTTATATTCTCAATTTAACAAGATACTGTCATCATAGCTTCCTTTAATTATTTAAGCATGATTTCTTTTAGTTCTTTGAACGTTTTTATAATAGTTGCTTTGAAGTCTTTCTCTGCTAAGTCAATCATCTGGGCCCTTTCAAGGGTAGTTTCTATTGCCTGCTTTTATTTCTGCGAATGTATCACGCTTTCCCATTCCTTTGCATGTTTTGTAATTTTTTTGTTTAAAATTGGACTTTTTCTATTACATTATTATCATAGTTTTTTTATTGTGGTAAAAAACATATAATAGAAAATTTACCATCTTAACCATTTTTAAGTGTACTTTTCAGTAGTGTTAAATATATTCATATTGTTGTGAAAGAGATCTCCAGAACTGTTTCATCTTGCAAATCTGAAGCTCTATGTGCATTAAATAAAATACCCTATTTCCTCTCCCCTTCTGCCAGTCTCTGGTAACCACCATTTTACTTTCTGTTTCTATGCATTTGAGTACTTTAGATACCTCATATAAGTGGAATCATGCAGTATTTATCTTTTTGTGACTGGCTTGTTTCACTTAGGATAATGTCATCAAGTATCATGCATGTTGTAGCATGTGACAAAATTTGCTTTATTTTTAAGACTTAATAATATTTCTTTGTATGTATGTACAGCATTTTGTTTCTACATTCATCCATCAATGGGCATTTGGGTTGCTTCCAACTATTGGCTATTGTGAATAGTGTAGCTATGAATATGAGTGTGCAAATGTCTCTTTAAGATCCTGCTTTCAATTCTTTTGGATATATACCCAGATTGCTGGATCATATAGTTGTTCTATTTTTAATTTTTGAGGAACCTACGTACTGTTTTCCTTACCAGTTGCACCATTTTATAACACCGTCAACAGTCCACAAGTGTTCTAATTTCTCCACGTCATCAGCAACATCCATTATTTTCTTTTTTTTTTTTAATAATAGCTATCCTAATGAGTGTCAGGTTTTGATTTGTGGTTTTGATTTGCCTTTCTCTGATGATTAGTGATGTTAAGCATCTTCTCATATGCTTGTTGGCCATTTGTATACCATCTTTGGAGAAATATCTATTCAAGTCCTTTGCCTATTTTTTAATCAAGTTATTTAATTTTTTGTTGTTGAGTTGTAAGAGTGTTTTATATATGAAAACTAGAATTTTAAAATAATATGCTGTAGCAACTCTGGTTACTGATTCTCCATTAACCACCCACCTCATTGGTTGTTGTTTATATAATTGTTTGGTCATTTGTTTATTTGTTAGTGCTTTGGATGAACTAATTCTGAGATGTCTATTTCCCATGCAGTGTGCAAACTCTGATGTCCCTAGCCAGATTTTTTCCCCCTTCATTTATATCTTTTAGTCTGGTTAACTAGGGGTCACTCCTGGATCAGGATAACGCACTTATTGGTCAAAAGTGTCCTTAAACCCCTTCAGGAAGTTAGATTTTTACCCTTACTGTTGGATATATGTGTGCCTTGGAAGCAGTTATCAGAGTTCAGGGAGTTGATGTTTCTTGCCCTATGTTCAGCCACCGACTAGTATCTTGGAAGTTCACTTTCTGATGGCTTCCGAAAGTGTGTAGCTAGGGCATGAACACAGTCTTCCAGACTGCCACGGCTGAGTGTACTTATTTTATTTTTTATGAGGAAGATCAGCCCTGAGCTAACATCCACACTAATCCTCCTCTTTTTGCTGAGGAAGACCGGCTCTGAGCTAACATCTATTGCCAATCCTCCTCCTTTATTTTTCCCCAAAGCCCCAGTAGATAGTTGTATGTCATAGTTGCACATCCTTCTAGTTGCTGTATGTGGGATGCGGCCTCAGCATGGCCAGAGAAGTGGTGCATCGGTGCGCGCCTGGGATTCGAACCCGGGCCGCCAGTAGCAGAGTGCATGCGCTTAACCATGAAGCCACAGGGCTGGCCACTGAGTGTACTCTTATTTTTAAGCCTGGCTTCCTAGAAGTCACTCCTGGGTAAAAATAGCTTATTGTTCCATCAGTGTTTGGTCAGAGATTATGTTTAAGCCCCTTGTGTCAGTGAGTCTTCTGCCCTGTGTTGATTGGTGTAAATGCAGTTTGAGCAACGTTTTCAAGCCTACCCATGTCCTCATGTGATTGCTCTTGAGTGAATGCAGCCTAACCCATGCACACAGCTTGCCCCATCTCCAGGGTTGACTACAATCCCATAATGTCTCTTTTTGTCTGTCTCTTTCCCTGGTTTTCTCTGTGAAACTTCTAATCGCTCTGATGTGTGCTTGTTCCTACTTGTTTCATGGAGCTATGAGTGTCCTCTTAATTCTTCTCCACCAAGATCTCCATTATTTTTGACAACAATCTTAGGTATTTAATTCTCCAAGCTCTGTTCCACATAAAGCAGTTCCCTCAAGTAGAGCTGGCACTACTAGTAAGAAGCAATGGTCCCTAATCTTTTTGGTTCACTCCTTCCAGCATGGCACTTCCTAGGGTGAGCTGAGGCTAGAGGCATTGAGAACCAGTATTGTTGGCCTGCTGCCCCTGGGGTTGAGCTTCTGCCTTATGAGTGCTAGGTGGAGGAAGAGAGCCCCAGACCTCCTAGCTTTTCAGTCACTCTCACCTGGAATAGACATTCTGCAACAACATGGGGCTGGGGAAAATGAGCAATACCAGTGGCCTGCCCCTCCCAGCATGAAACTGTAACCCCAGAATGAGAGCTGGGGGTAGAGGGAATTCTGTCTTCACTGTCACACCTGCCCAGAGTAGAGCTCACGTGGAAAAATCTTCTATAATCCAGGGGAGGAGGTGATAAGAGAGTGGGTCATAACTGAAACGATACAGTCTCATTGTTCTTACTCAGATTTAGTGAACTTTTGAATGAATGTTTCTCCCTTTCTTGTGTGCCATTAGGACAATTCCCAGAGGCATTAAATTATTGTTTTTTTAAATAATTTCTTCCAATTAAATTGTTATTTTGCTGGGGAAAGAATGCTCCAAATTCCTTACTCCATAATTCTGGACCCACAGTATAATATGTAGTATTTTCATTATTATTCAGTTCCAAATATTCAAAACTTTCATTATGAATTTTTCTTTAACCAATGAGTTCCTTAGTAAAGTATCCTGTAGTTTCCAAATACATAAGTATTTTAATCCTTTATTTTTATCTTAATTGCAATGAAGTCAGGCAACATAGTCTGTATGATATCAGTATTCAAAATTTTTTGAGACTTGCTTTATGGTCTAGTACATGAGTAATTTTGTAAAAGATCCATGTGACCTGACAAGGTGTATTCTTTCATTGTTTGGTCCTGAAGTTCACCATTCTGATCTCAGTGCTATCAGCAACTACCCCCAACTCTGGCCACAGATCACAGTTTCTTTTTGTTTTTGGTGGTGAAAGCCCTTAAGAATCAACCCTTTCTTGCCTGCCCAGCAATGCACTAAAAAGAATACTTTATCTAATATCCAGTTCCTCCGCAGGGAGAGGTTTCTTCAATTGTCTATTCTGATATATCAAAAGTTTTTGTATTCTTCTGTAAACATGCAAAACCCAGTATGAAGAGTTCTTAAAAGTGGGAATATGTATAAGAAATTTTCAAATAGTTGGTTTGCATTAGATATGTTTGCTTTGCCTTGTTCTGTTATTCAAGTGGCAAGTCACCTTCAGGGTATAGTATATATTGCATTGACTTTACTTAACTTTTCGACTCATATGACAAGACTTCATATGTAAAATTTCTGGAGCTTCTTTTCATTTTAAGTCATGTGTGTTATTTTTGTTACTTATATTATTTTGATTTTTACTAAAACCATATAGAAAAGATCAATTTGTCACTCTGAATAAGTATACCTTTATATGAATGTTTCAGTCAAGGTCCAGTCAGGAAAATAGAAACTAGTCCTGGTATTTCAAACAGAAGGAATTAGTTTCTAAGGTGCTATAAGAACTAGAAGAGCAAAAGAAAGATGATGGGGTAGGGAGAAGGCCTTGAAAACCAAAAAGGAAAAATGAATAATACCAGAGATCAGAAGATGCTAAAAAACAATCCTAGATGAGAGGCAAGTGTTAACAACTAACAGTTGCCACACTTGGAGAGCCAGAAGCATGAAGTTCCTGTCTTCTTCCTGCCTTCTTAGCGGAAGATAGCAGGAAACCAGCTGTCAAGTGAGTATAGGAAATATAATTTGCAGAATTCCAGGCACAGTGGTGTGAAGCACAGTATAGAAAAGCAGATGTGAGGCTGAGAGTCAACAACAAACAACCAGCAAAATGAACTAAGGAGGAAATAGGAAATGCCTGTGTATTTTTAGTACATTTTAAATTCTATAATAGCTGAGCACAACACATCTTATTGTTCTGAATTTAAGATGACTTAAAATATCCACAATGTGTACATTGAATGTATGTTGCATCTTACAAGCATAATAGTATTTCTAAAGGAAGATAGGGTTATTTTTAATAAATAGTAGTGAAGCAAAATTAGAGCAAAATGAACTAGAATCTTAAGTGGAATTGTTATGGATGGTTTCATATAATGTGGGATAATGTTAAATCTTTTATACGTATACTGTGTTTTAGTAAGTTTACAAGTATATCATTTTAATATACATTCTCATTTTTATCTCTCTTTGGTTAAGTCGTAATTTGGATAAAGAGATGTTTTATTCTATTTTTTCCATTTTATAGATGAGGAAATTGAGGTTCAGAAAGATTAACTGATTTGCTAAAGGTCATTGACCTTCTTGGTATGAAGCTGGAACTTGCTCTCAGTGTTTTTAACTCCCTGCTCAGCATTCATTTCCCTATCTATACCAGGAAATCTGTGCTGAAAACAGGTATGCAACCTCTTTCTGGAAGACATTTATTTATTTCACTCAAAAACAAATTATTCATACAGATTAATTCTAAACTTTTTCCAGTGCTGGAATACTTAGCAGGTGTTGGTTGGAAGTTTGTAATTTTAGCCCTCACAAAATCTGTTGTAATTTCAGTATATTAAATCCTTCTGCTGGCCAGAATATAACAATTTTGGAGAAATGTACTAAATTACTTGGTAGGTGAAAACTAACTTGGCTATTAAGCTGCTAATCCCTACATAACAAATCTCTTGTTCTGGCTTTTGTTTCCTTAAGTAGAAAATAAATACAGAGTTTAGATAAAATACTTCAAGTAAAGTTACTAAGATTACTTCCTTAGGTAGAGTGAGCTGAAGAGATTGCAAAACATATAAATATTGAAAACTCACCAGATTCAATACAGCTCTTCAAAAGGCCTTTGCCACTGATATCAATTTGTCCCTTGAGATCTTTGAACACAAACTAACCAAGTTAATTACTCCACAGATTAATGACAGAATATAGACGTTGACATCACATAAGCTTTTTTTTTGTTATACTAATGTGAATAAGTCCCTAATGTTTTCAGGCAAAATACCATGTTTTCTCACTTTAAAAGTCTAGTTGTGAATTTAAGCACCACCAGGCTAGATTGGTATAATAAAGAAGGACAAACTTGAGTATCAATGAAAACAGAAAAATAAATAGTTTTAAACTTGCGAATACCCTTGGTAGTGAGATGGATTGATCAAATGTGGTTATAGGTGATTTCTCTGTTTCAAAGATGTTGAACTTGAGACTTTCAAGCTTCATTTTTACTAGCTTTGAATTTAATTTTCCTTTAGTCTTTCTGGAGCACCTTTAATCCTAGCTAAAATGCTTAACCTTATTCTCCTCCCCACGCCCCAAACACACACACTCCATTGTTGAAGTCTGCCAATTCTTTACCTGTCAACTCTTACAAATCTACTCTCCATTTCCAGACCCAATGAGCACCTCCCAGTTCTTAGTGAAGTTATGTACGGCTTATTGAGGCACTTTTCTAACCTGAATACCTGCTGCCAATTTCTTTACTTGCTAATCAATAGAACTGGTAGAATAATCTTCCTCAAACACCTTTTTCATCATATCAACACTCTGCTTAAGAATATAAAATTACTACAAATAACCAATAACCATTCTATAGATAAGAGAGATCAGGTGAGTTTTACTTGTGCCAAGCTGAGGATTGCAACCCAGAAAGACAGTTTCCACAAAGAAAGAAAGTGTTCCAGTGAAGCATGGCTTTCAGTACAGTTTTATACCTTTTTAGAACAAAGAACATACATTAAACATGCCCAGGATATATATTCACCAAAGTTTCAAAGAGGTACTCAGTTGCAGATAAGCAGGTCATTATTTATTTGGCTAGTAAGTAGTAGAACTAAGCATAGACTTTAGGTCTTATAAGTATAGGTAATATATAAGCTAGTAACAAAGATGTAAAAGGCAGAATAAAATATTTACAGCAGATGTATAAATGCTTTAATTTAATACCAGTATTTATTTTTTTAAAGATTTATATTGGCAAGGCTGTATTTTTATAAACAAATGATGCTTCCTTCATATGAATACTTTAGTAAACTTATCGAAAGATTCTATGATTACAACAAAAAGTTGCCTTTCAATGATTGTGATGTATTCTTTACAAAAATCTATTTCTAATTTATCTTAGCTTTGCATTCATGAGTATACAAATAGCAAGTCATAGATTTCAATTCTGATAATTCTTGAGTCCCATAAAGTTAAAATAAAACCAAAGGCAGTGATATTATAAATGGTACTAGCTAGGAATTTAGAGCAAGTCTGCTTATGTACATTTGTATTTGGTTGAAGAGATATTGGTAATGCACTATGTCAGTTTTTATGAATAGCATAACAGAATCAAAAGTGTAGTGTGTTCTTTCTGTTTATTTGTTTGTCTTCCACACTGATTTTACATTATGTATAATAATCTTAAAATTGAACATTTGATAATTAAATTTTCAGTCAGAGAGCAGTTAGTTCAACATGGGACTCACTTTTCATTCATGACTAACACCTTTAAGTATAGGATAGAAACTTTGTACAATTGTCCACACTTAATAGAGACCTCAAAATATTGATGAAATAGATGTGTGTGTTTGATTTTTTTAAAATAGTTATCTTCCATAACCAGAACTAAGTGGAAAGCTGTGCTCAGGTGGTAATAAAGTAATCTCCCCTTATCCACAGTTTTGCTTTCCTGGGTTTCAATTACCCATGGTCCAAAAATATTAAATGGAAAATTCCAGAAATAAACAATTCACAAGTTTTACATTGTGTGCCATTCTGAGTCTCGGGATGAATCTCACGCCCTCCCTCTCTGTCCCACTCAGGATGTGAGTCATCCCTTTGTCCAGTGTATCCACGCTGTGTACGCTACCCACCTGTTAGTCACTTAGTAGCCCTCTCACTTATCAGATCAACTGCTGTGGTATGGCAGTGCTTATGTTCAAGTAACCCTTATTTTAGTTAATAAAGGCCCCAAAGCACAAGAGTTGTGATGCTGGCAATGCAGATATGCCAAAGAGAAGTCACAAAGTGCTCCCTTTAAGTGGAAAGGTGAAAGTTCTCGACGTAATAAGGAAAGAAAAAAAACGTACGCTGATGTTGCTAAGATCTACTGTAAGAATGAATCTTTTATCTGTGAAATTGTGAAGAAGGAAAAAGAAATTCATGCTAGTTTTGCTGTCCCACCTCAAATATGTATGTATAGAAAAAACATAGTATGTATAGGGTTTGGTACTATCTGCGGTTTCAGGCATCTACCGGGGTCTTGGAACACATCTCCCACTAATAAAGGAGGACTACTGTAGTTGAAACTGGGGGAAATAAAATTTTTAAAAGCCTTCCCCTCTATTACCAAGTTTGTTATACCTTTAAAGATAGTTGAATAGGTTACCACTTTCTCTCAAGACTTCTCAGTACCATTATTATCCTAATGTGTGGTGAAGTGGTTAAAAGCTCCATCCCAGTGATCAGACTTTCTGGGTTAAAATACTGGTTTTGGTATGTTATGCTATACTTTGTAATATATTATTCAGCTGAAAACTTGTTTCATCAAAATATACTATATGTAAATGTAAGTATTTATTCCAGAGAAAAAATAAATATTTCTATAGCGGTGTAACTTTGGGTAGGTTACTTAAACACTCTCTGTCTTGTTTTCCAATCCAAACAATATGCACAAATGTAGGATTGCTATGGGGATTAAAGAGATAATCCACATACAATGCGTAACACAATGTCTAGCACACAAGGTCTGTTAAGTGGTTTATTATTTTTTTTTATTTATTGATATACTGAGGTAACATTTAGCAGGTGATGTTTTCCAAATTTATTTGACAATAGATCATCAAAACACCTATTAACATCTCCCAGGAATCATCATTATTTTAATATATAGGCTACTGATAAGTCTTTATTATTATTTGTATATCTTCACTATTGCTAGACTATGAAGTCTGTAAGGGCAAAGAGCTAGTCTTGTTCATATTTTTGTCCACAGAGCTCAGCATAGTTCTTTCCCCAAAGTAGATTCTTTCCATGTGCTAAATAGAAGTGCAATTTATACCCAGTCTGCATCCTCAACCAGACTATGTCATCTACAACTCCAACTTATGCGTTCTTATGTAAGTGTACACCTCTGAAATCTGTCTTCAGCTTTGGCTACTCTCCTGAATTAAAGATCTAAAATTCCAACTCTCTGGTATATATCTTAACAAGAATGACTGCTCATGTTACAAAATATCTGAAACTAATTTCAGTATATATTAACCATTATTGGAGTAGAGGTGAACTTCCAGTTTTCTATTTCTCTTTATTCTAATACACCTTTCTCACTGCAGTCAAATTACTCTTCCTTAAACAAAGGTCTCATCATATAGCATTCTTGCTCAAAATATTTCATAGCTCCCTATGCTTACAAACAAAGTCCAAACTTTTTAGCATGGCATGACACTAGCCATGTTTTCCAGCCTCATCTCCTGTCTCACCTTCTCTAAAAGCCTTTGGTTTGGCCATATTCGTCACATAAGATTTTATATATTTCTAACCATTGGCCTCAAGTAAAGAGAGAATATTTGTAAGTGCTTCAGAAACTATAATTTAATTTGGAATATAAGATCAATAATTCTCTTCACTAAACATATTGACAAATTTTTATGATTCATAGTGGATTTGGATGAAGATATGTTTAAAAGATAAATTAATGTAAGATAATGACAATAGTCACATACATTGCAATAGAAAATAAATATATCCATTTTCAAGAGGCAGCCAGATGGACCAATAAACTCTGGCATTTGTATTTATTTCTATCTTCACGCATTTATCATGTTCAAGATGTGATTTAGAAAAATAACGAAGCGAAAACAAGGTCCTTCAGGTAGAAATATGATTAGTACTTTGTCTCCTGCGCTTTACACTAACCTCTTATCATTTATAAAACACTATAGGGTCTCTCTGTGAAAACACTATTGATCTCTCATTAGAGCATGCCAGAATGTGATTCATGATGTGAGTCACAGATGTCCTCAAATAGCATAATCTAACCTCTACTCCCATCACTAATTTATCACGTGTCAGGATAGAAAGTCATTGGCAGAACAAAGTTGTCAGGGTAACAAAACACCAAAAGAATGTCTTGATAAAAACAGTTTGTGTGTTTGTGTGTGTCCATTCAACATATAATTCAGACAAAAATACAAAAATTACATGAGTTTGTGGGAGATCAAGATTTGGCCATCCTAAAATATATCTCTTTGCCTTGATTGTTTTCTCTGAGGGACATTTGACCTCCCCCACTAACTGCCTAAAGAATTTGACCTAGTGGCTCCTTCCTGGAACAGATCTATCATGATGGCTGTAAAGATAATGTAAGATAAGTGTTACAATAGGAAAGGCACCAACAAGCCCATTTTATCAGAAGTTCTGTCTCTCTGGCCACATTCTCTGGATGGCCCTGCAAGGAGTTACCAGACAATTATTTACATTTATAAGAGAAATCTCCATTTGTAAAGGTATCTCACTCTCTGTTTTGGGAAGAGGGGGGGATGGCCTCATTTCTAGAGGCTTGTCAATGTGGAAGGTGAGGCCTTAAATCTGCATAATAACCTTACTCTTGTTTACTGTGCTTTAGTGGTAAGCTCCTGTAACTGACTCCCCCCACCCCCAACATCCTCCTTTGTCGTTGGCTGAACATGGTATTTAAGATGAGAATTTCTGCTA